GTTTATTATTCACTATAGTTACTAATGTACTCCAAAATAATTATTTAGACTGTATTAATTACTAAAATGAGTTGTAGACTTATTATAATGAATGACGAAATGGTATAAAAACAAGAATACCTTATGAGAAAAAACAAATGTAAAAGAATGCAAATTTCGAAAATTATCTATAATCTCATTGTTCAAATAAATCGTCTATGGCAGAGAATGAGAGAGAGAAAGGAAAGTATATTAGTTGAGTAAATCATTTTGTTTTGCGTGGAATTACACAGAGGAGATTTTCTAACAAGGAAGAAAAAGACACAATATAAAGTCTGAGTAATGAAATTCGATTGAAATATCAATAGAATACTGTGATCGGCATTTTATTCTATCATACCCGTTAATATTATCTATTGAATTTATTCACAATGATAATTATAGATCCACTGGCAACTAGAAAGTAAATGACAAATAAATAATTGCTGTTCAATAGTATTGAGTTGATTTAATGCATGTAGTTTAATAAATGGAAAGAAGAAGTTTTGTGATAGAAAATATAGTGATTTTTGTCTAAATTTCATCGTTTTGTTTTCTACTAAAAAAGGTTTCTTTTTTTTTGTTCTATTCTTTAGACGTGACATGTATCGGAGAAAAGAAATATTAAATTACTTTAATTATATCAAACTCATTTAGATTTGTAGATATAAACTAAGAAAATGAAATTATTCCACTTTAACAAGAATTTGAACATTAACTAATGATTAATTATCCCAAGCACCAATCTCATTCAAAATGTTTTTCATAATCATTTTTAATTGATTAAACATTCATTATCTGAATGACGCATTCAAGCTTATGATTGGAAACTCGCTCTTGTTTTTTTTGTTTGTTTGTTCTATTGAATTTCAATGAAAGGAAGCAACAAAAGAATTTTCTCGATTATATAAAATGACAATATATAACAATGATGAGATGTATTATCTGGAAATGAACTAATATTATTTCCTTAGATATAATTTGATTTCAAGTATATATTTATAACTATATTTAAAACTTATTAGTCGATGAAGAAAAAAGGCATAATTAAAGATTGACTTTGAACCACTAGGTCAAGCTAAACTTTCACTTATCGTATGCTTTAATTAGATTCTATATGACTTAACAAGTGTTCTAGTCATCGAATAGACAACAGGAAGGGCAATACCACTTATATTTATATCATTTAGAATTTATTTAATTAATGGTTACTCTATAATCTCTTTTTCTTGATGTAGACTTCCCTTTTTTTGTTAGTTTATCACAATTGAACTAGTTTTGAATCTTAGCTTCTTAAGGTTATTAATTATTCTCTTCTCTCATTATATATTTCATTAATAAAGCATCATTTGAAAAGAGGAATAGGCGAGCATGACAATAGGAAATGAATTATTACTTGCAGTACTCTTCTCAAAAGTAAGACATGACAATTAAATCCTTACTAAATAGCATCAAAACATAAAATGCTCAATACAAGATTATTTCATACAAATTTTTTCACTCAAGAAAAAAACATCTATTCTTACTATCAATAAAAGATAAAGAAAGATGGCTACTTTTATATATAGCTTATTCTCAGAACTTTGAATAAATAATTCTCTAAATGAAATAACCATGTGGTAAATTCCTATAAAGGATTTATACATTAAAAATTTATTACAACAAAGACACAGCAAAATCTTTCGCAATGCAAATATGATTTATAAATCTTTCATTATTCTGTTGCACAAATAAGACAAAAGTTTTCTAAAAATATTTCAAATAAAACCGAAAACATCAGAATAAATCCAGTTTCTATCCTACATATATTCGATTGATATAATATGTCATATGCTATAAAAGAGATCTATAAGCTGTAGTATCACGCCGTTTCAGTCAGTCATTTCCGCCTTGAAGTAGTGCGAAAATTTCCAGTGACGAGGCCATGACAACACACTGCAAGTTTTCATGATCTTCGTCACCTCCTGGCGATACTGTTTTTTTTTTGGAAGACCTATTATTTGCTATAAATTCTGGTTCTCAGAATCAATCGCTAAATAAATCCACATTTGTGGACAAGTAAACACTTAGTCTCTGTTGGTTACCAAATAGGAATTTTAATCTAAAGATTTTTTTATTTAGAGATCTTTTTATTATAAGATCTACTATACATAGCATAATCCATTATCATCTTATGTCTCTTATTGTACGGTATCAATCTGGTGACCAGATCATGATGTACGAACACAAGCCGTACAATGATACACACTATAAATACACTACTATATTTATAACTGGAAAATACGATTCTTCTTCAGATCAACAACACTGCAGTACCCAGATTTTTTTGATGCGCATTGTCCATTAGAGTAATTAATGTATAGGATATCATTGATTTGGAAAAGAACAGTATCTTCCAGTTATAAATATAGTAGTGTTTCTACAGTGTGTATTATCGTACGGGATGTATTCTTACATCGTGATCTGATCACCAGATTGATACAGTATGATAGGAAACGTAGAATGATATGGAATTATGCGATATATAGTATATCTTATACTAAATAGATTCCTAGATAAAAAAGTCCCTTGATTAAAATTCCTATTTAGTCATTAACATAGACTAAGTGTTTACTTATCAACAAATGTGGATTTATTTAGCAATTGATTCTGGGCACCAGAATTTGTGGCAAATGATAGCCCTCCATTTTTTTTTGCCTCAGAATAGACGTGTTCCATGAAAAAATTATCTTAAGAATGGTTGAACGTATCGAACTGTCTTCTAGTTCTTAAGGATTTCTCGATGTGCTCTTTCTTTTGTCTAGCGGACACTTTTGTCCAAAATGATTGTAAGTAGGTTTTCTAGAAAATCGTGGTTTGGGAACCAATGGTCGCGAAAGTCTCTTTGTTTTAACAGTCTATAATGATAGAGTAACCAATTCTCTACAAAATGAGATGTCTTCGAGCTCTCTGCGGCTATTTTTAGCCGAGTTACATCAATTTTAGTGAAAGGCAAAAGCCATTTTTTTCTGCTATTTCCTCTGGGAAAAGCAAAAAATGGCTTTTGCCCGTCACTAAAATTGATGTAACTCGGCCAAAAAAAGTCATAGAGAGCTCGGAGACATCTCATTTTGTAGAGGATTGGTTACTTTATCATTATAGACTATTAAAACAAAAAGACTTTCGTGACCATTGGTTCCAAAATCACAGTTTTCTAGAAAACCTACTTTCAAGCATTTTGGACAAAAGTGTTCGCTAGACAAAAGAAAGAGTATATCGAAAAACTCTTAAGAGCCAGAGAACAGCTCGATACGTTCAGCCGTTCTTAAGATAGTCTATACCAACTTTCTCATGAAACACGCCTATTCAATTAAACCTATAAAAATGAATGATTGTTAGTTGTTGTTTTTTTTTGTATATTGAAATAGTCTATATGTATTTTATTCATTTCATTTGATGTTATGGCAATGAAATAATGATTGTGACGTATATATTTAGGGTGATGAGTATAGAGTCTATACTTACCATAGGCAGTTGTTTTGTGGGCACGTTGTCGTATATTCACGCTAAATATTACGATTGTACATCACAGTGACTGCGTACGCAACAATAATATATAGAGAAATATGCATTAAAAGTACGACTATAGACAACCTCTGTGTATGAAGATAGGAAGTGAACTTTCCTATCTAGTCCGACTGCGTGGGAAATTTTCAAAAGAGTCGTCTCTTAAAACAATTTTTTTAATGAGATGAGACAAGACAATGGTACGGATAAATGTTTAGCCACTCCGTGGATCTCTGTTGTATAATACTGAAATGTTAAGAAAAATAAAATTTTAAACGCATAAGATTCAAAAGAATTCATAATTTACTTTGTACATAAAATTACACTTTATTTATTAAATAAAAAATCTTGACACATTTTTATTAAAAACAATTGAATAATGATAAAGTAAAAACAATTAAAAAAGCTTTAGTGCAATCTCTGCGGTATTAAAATGTAAAATACAATGTAGCTGCTGTTGCTAATCACAGGAAGATCATTTTATTCTATCTATTTTAGGACATATCTTCACCATCCTTCTAATTAATCCTCCCGACATGCACTAAAGAATTAGTTCATATATTATAATGAGATATTATTCATATACGATCTTTGATGGTATATCAACAACGTCTGTCACGATCTGTAATGAAGAAGAAACGGAGTTAGAGATCTTAGTCACATCTGTAATGTGTCGTTGCTAAGATGCCAATGGATTCTGTCTGGCATGATCTGTAGCAGGAAATGTAAATTTCTACCGTATATACCTCAACATTTGTTTTAGATTGTGTTTCACTAAATGATGGTAAGATAAGGATACAATTAAAAAAGAGGATGTGAATGTCACTCTTCTCTTCATCCATATCCTCACTATATATAGAAGAGTTTTGAAATAATTATTTAACAGCGAAAGATTAATTACACAACAAAAGTACCTTGAACTTTGGTTCCTTACTTTATAATAATAAAAGAAATTGAAAATAGAATAAATGGAATAAACTTTAGAAAATATTCGAACATGTTGATCATACTTTTGCATGGATAACAAATCCGAAATATTACTCTTAATGATCATTTATGTTTGTTTTTTGAGTTGAGAGTTGGTGATCATTTTCGGTTTCCTTTCAATTACTGCTTCGCATATTTCATCGTTTTCCAATCATCGTAGCTAGTTGGTGACAAGAAAATTTCGAGAACTTCTAATTCAGATTCCTATTTTTTTCAAGAAATCAGTAGAACATAGCGAAGCTCAAATTTTTTCAATTCAACAATTTGATTTGATAAAATAATATTTCGATTTAGTTAGACCATCAAGTGAATAATTTAATCGAATGACAAAATAAAAAACAAAGAAGACAACAAAAAATAGAAATTTCAACTGTTCTATTTTTCTTTTGTTTCGTTTAAAATAAATCAATAAGGAGTTTTTTTTTATAACTATATTTTTTTTGTTGATTTTAAGCAACAGAAGTTGGATAAGTAATAACTCGCAATTTAATATATTCATGTTTGTGTTCATACGGATATTTGGCAGGTTTTGAGGGCTTAGTTGATGATTGAGATTGACCAATATCATGTTCATCATCATAATTTCTTGCTAATTGATTTGATCTGTTCCATTCAATACGACAATAACATGGTATACGTTTCTTTACAGCTAGAGTCCATGCTTTAAGCATACGTTTTAATTCATGACGAAATCTTCGACCAGCAAATGAATAAAGAACTATGTTTGACATTGAATTGAGTAAATCACTAAGAGCTATTAATGCATGAGAATGACGTAAAAAATATGGACAATCATCACCAATTACAACTGAACGACCACAATATTTAATACTTAATATTATATCAATAAACCATGAACTTATAATAGCTAAAATACATTCAGTTGTTATTATAATAATAACTCGACGAGTTTCATCTGTTCGATGACGTGATAATCGTGATTGTTGATTGAATGAACTTCGAATAGTTATTATCCATCGAAGAGATACTGCATTAGCAAGTATTGTTACCATAGATGGAATTATACTTCCAGCAACTAGTAAATTTTAAAATTAAAACAAAAATTAAATTTTTTTTTTCGAAAACAAAAATATTGAGTCAGTAAAATAGATGAAATGATCAATAAGTTGTAGTACACATCCTATGCACGATATAGATGTTGATACTGTTTGCTTGTATTCTTTCCTTCGACTTCAATTTAGAATCCATAAATAAAAAAGATGGACATGGTAGAAGCTGCTCAATATGAAAATCATGTATCAGATAAAAGGATGGTGAAAGAAAATTATGAAATAAATAGAAATGTAAGGCCTGGACAAAAAAAAAGAAATGAAAATACTGGGTTGACAAGGCTACATCTGATAATGTTTGTGGAGCAGAAGCATCAATTGTAAATAAATGGTCAAAACATTACAGTGTGCGACATGGATCAAACCTTTGTGATCTGATCCATGTCGAACTCTTCCTGAAAACTCTATATCACCGTTGAACAGACAGTGCATTCGTTGTACATTGTTGTCCAATGTCAATAAAGAAAAGTCGGTGAAGTAGAAGAAAAGATCATGCGATACACACAACTTCTTATTCTACTAAGCTTTTTCACGTCTCCAATAGAACTTTTAAATGAAAACAACATTCAAAATGCCTTTTGATTCTGCAAAGTGGTCAGACTGCAGATCAAACCTGAGATCCGAAAATTCTTTTTGGTGATCGAATTCGAGTGGGATTCTGAAACATTATACGAACTATACAGAAAATCGGAAAACATTTTATTACAGGTGCAACAAAGACAAATGTCGTGGACCTTCATGCAAAGCAACTATTTATCTGCTATATTATGCAAACAGGGGGAAACGTTACTGTTTTATAAAATTGCAGCTAAACACGATGATCATAAGAATGTGTGAATATGAATGAAATGAAAACTCCTTTGAACTGATACACATACCTTATGTCATATGGATAAAAAATTCTGTTAATAAAATCTATATTTTTCTACTGGAATAAAATATATTTTTTAATTGCTATTTAAATATAATAAACTGATCATTTCATTTATAGTACTAACTACTTAAATCATAGCCAATATTGCGTATTTCAAAAAACAAAAATAAAAAAACAAGATTCTTTTACCGAGTATGATTGTATATCGATTAAGACCAAGTTTACGTGAATAAAGAAGATTATAAATTTGTAAAAAAAAATTTGGTTCAAAACGTATTGGACATGTATGATAATGATATTTTAAACGAAGTTCATTACGTGCCATTTTTGCACCGGTTGTATATAATTGAATTTTTTGTATAAGAGAAACAATTTGACGTTCATGCATATCAAAATAATGCTCTTAAAAAAATTAAATAGAATTAGAAAAATAATTTTTTTTTTAAAGAAAATTATTCATCGGATAATGTATCAAAAGATTTTCGTTTCTATTTCAATATTTCGAATATAAAATTGACATATAATAAAAACAATGTGATTTTAAAGTTTGCTAATATTTTGTAAAGAAGTGTTTCCTCTAAACAATCAAACCACCGCGAATATCAAACAATTTTCAAGGATGAAAAAAATCAACTTAATTTATTACTCTATAGCAATTAACACTTAATATGACTTCAAGTCTCAGTTTATCATAATTATTGAATCACAATGTACTCTCTATAATACTGATCAACATAAAAATTTCATCATCTTATTATCCTTTCAGGATTCACAGCATCAGATGCATACATAATTAAATAATTCCGTGACTTATATAGACGATGCCATTGTGAAGAGTGTAACTCTGAGTGAAATATATATCAGATCAAAAACAAAAAGTTCGACTCACGGGCTATCACATGTCAAATTATTCTAATCTATGTTTTTTTACATTATTTTGTTTTAGCCTGAGAGAAATTAATAATCTTAAGTGACAATGTCGTATATCGTGACAATTTTCTCGAACACAATTTCGTGTTCTATATATTCATCTAGGTCAACTGTTATCTTCAATTCTTTTCTTTATAGATTTAAACAATTCATAAGAGTTAATCGATTTTCTTTGTAGATATAAAAGAAAAAAATATAATACATAATGATAACCATTACTTCAATGAAAGACAGATATAATGATTAATTAAAAGATATCGTTAGAACTAAATTAACTTATGTATACCATTATTCTTTCTTTCAGTACAAATGTATTCGTTAGCTTTAGGGTAAATATAATTATTTCATTTATTCTCTTGTAAATATTAGAAAAGATTAATTTACTATATTACTGAGTTTTTTTTCTAGGTTATTTTTCTCAATGAGAAAAACTTCACTATCATAATAATTATCCTTTGGAAATAACGTAATATTGGTTAGGAAACCAATTCAAAATTTTTTTTTCTAGACTAAACATATGTCAATATTTCGTGGGATACTTAATAGCTTTTTGGCACTGCAGTATATAAATAATAATAATCAGAATAATTTAAAAACATTAACTATTAAAAGCAGTCATTGTTCACATGAATGATGATGAATTTTATCGACTATAAACCAATTTCGAGATTAAAATACTTACGAACTATTTGTTCACGTGGACAACTTATTGTATTATCAATAATACAATCGATTTCACTTTGATTATTTGTTTGATTTTTCATAAATATAATTAATTGCGATGTTTCATTTGAAAGATTGGTATACATATAATTATACCATTGATAAGCAATCTTTGAACTAAGTTCAGATGAACAAAAAATATTTAAACCAAGAAATTCAAATAAATATGCAAGTATAAATGCACATAGAATAAGTAAATATGAAAAAGATCTTGGTAAAGAATTTCGTGGTATCATTCTATATGATGAATGAAACATATCATAAGCACGTTGTGTAGCTAAGAATGACATAAGTAAAAGTGAAAATCGTATGTAAAATTCATAATGACATAATGGTATAAATATTTGTGGTGCATATTGTGTAAGATGTCCATAAATTCGTAGTAAAAAAGTTTGTGAACAAGATGATACAGAAATAAAATTGTGAAATAATGTTTGTTGATAGTATAATAATTTAATAACACGAAATGTAAAATAAATACAATCCGCAATCAATAAAGCAATAAAAAATGGTGTTAATATAGAAGAACGAAAACGTTTTCGAAAAAATACACATATACATAACCAATTACCTATTGAACCAATTAATATAATTAAAATACCAATCCATGTACAGGATGATTCTATAGCCATTTTCTATCTAGAAAAAAAATACGAAATAACAATTACAAGAAGCATAACTAAAAAAAGTTGTTATTAAAATTAGAAATAAAAAATAATACAAATCGAATTATACTTTCGTATCTATCTACCTCTCTTTATATATATGTCGCAGTAGAAATTGAAATTTCATTTTCTTCTATAGTTTGATCAAATAAAAGTGGAAGTAACACGTTTGATTTTTTCTCGTATATCTGCAAAGAAAGAAAGCCAAGTTTTTATTGAAATTTGTAGCTCATAGTATTACAGTAACTATTTTACTAGGAGCCAAAAGTCTCAGCGAGAACTTGGTTTTTTCTCCCCAAATTATATGAAAAAAAAATCAAATTTTTACTTCCACTTTCAATTGATCAGACTATAGTAGGATTTTAATTTCTACTGCAACATATATATGCACTATGATAAACTCATAACTTAAGTATAAATGATTAGAAAGACGAGTTCATTAGTAAATTGTCATTTTCTTCATCAAGAGATTCATTTTCTCTCTTTTAACGTAAGACATTATCAAGAGTTAGTCACAAAAAGAAATGTAATGAAAGAATATAATGAATGCAAGAGCAAAGGAAATACTTTATGAATACATTCTTGAGAAAACAAAGAAAAATAATGTAGATGTTTATTGGTTTTAGCATTTTAAAACTCATAGATTTGTATTTATGTTGAAAATAAAAAGTGAAAAAAAAGTAATTCATTTCCGGTAATTAATTTTCTTTATAAAATATTTACATATTGATATTATTCATAAAATCAGCTTACGTTAAATTCAAACTAATTCTCTTCAATGATTAATGCTGTTTGATTAGTTATATTAAAATTCTAATCTGAAAATAATAATCACTTTATTTATATATAAAGATAATAAAAAAACAAAATGTTCGATTATTTTCAAAATGAAAATTTTCTAGATAAGTATTTTATTATATATAATGGCTCTTCGATTACTTCTATTATTTTAAGTAGAGATCTAAAAATTACCTTGAAATCATTAATTAGTTTCATGAACATTTTGAATGTTTAAAAATTCATGAAAGAAATCAATGTAATACTATTTGCGTTAGAAAACAAAACAAAAATAAATAGGATATTATTTTATTGTGGAATAAAAAAGAAAAAAATTCATGCCTAATGATATGCAATTATCGACATCTAATCAGACACTAGAACGATCAAATAAACATAAGATTTCATATTGTGATGTATATTCAGAGATATCTCGAGCGAGGGTCACTCCCTCCAAATCTTCAGAAATTTTTGATTTTTCTCAGCAAAGTTCCCGCTTTTTATTCGTTGTTTTGCTCACCAAATCTGGAAAAACTGCTCGATCTCTCTTTCGAATCCGATTTGTTTTAACAAAAAGCTTTCAATTGCATTCCTGTGTAACGCCTCCAATCCTGGCAATCTCAGGCACTTCTGTGTACATTTTATTTACAATAAAGTTTGAAAGCTCTGTTTCCTGTTGGAATTATAGGATGAACTATCAAAGGTATTTAACTAATTCAAGATCTCGATATATATTATTTTTTATATAGAGAATGTTCGTCTTAGCGACATTTAGTATGATTGTTAAAAATTTTAGTAATCGATTATTTTAGACTTTTTAATGAAAAAAAGCAAAATCGATACATCTAATGAAAAATAATGAAATCTTCGTTATTTATTTGAAGAATTTTATAAATTTTTAGTTTACCTGATTAGTCCAACTGAACTTAAAATATACTGTGTGGAAAAAAGAAGTACTAAGTTTTTTATCTATTTTCATGCCGGTTAATTTTTCAAACAATGTGTTTTTTTTTTGCAAATTATTCCATTTACATATCAATAGATAATTTAAATAAAGGTTCATCATTGAATATTCAATTTATTCATAAAAATCCTAAAATAATTTTAATTTATATCATTCAAAGATAGTTTCAGCTATTAACGCATATCTAAAATAAAGAGCTACATACGGGAAGTGAATATGATTATATTCAACTAAAGATTATTTCTTATCTATACATGACTGTTTGCAAAAAAACACGCACACTTTGCCTTCTGGATAGTTTTGATTCTTTATGTCTACTTGATTACTTTCATCTCTGAAATAACAGATCACAAAAGGGCACTATATTTCCTCTTAAATATAAAAGCATAAAGAACGAACGCATGTAGCTGCATGCAAAATACTGTGTATATATGTAAGATGTGCTCTTACATGACAAGTGTGTGCACACGTCATAGGAGAGATAATATTCAAAATTATATGCAATGGGACTTTAGACATGTACATGTATTTTATTATTGCCTGAGAGAACCTGAACACATTTTTCTTTAACGAACACTTGCATGCATATGTAAGAAAATTCTAGAATGACAAAAAAATGAAGCATATGTAGCAAGCATACATGAACACATAGTAGTCTATTTTTCGAAGATACGATTCGAAAGTACATTTATTGTTTTATAAGATGAACTTCTTCACCATTCGACTATCTGCTTATTTTAGAAGTACAATCAAAACTTAAAGATATTATAATAGTTCAATAACTATTAAATGTGTATGCATATGAATGCTAATAACTGTAAAAAATTTTTAAAAGTGAGTACGGTTTTTGAGTTTATATAGTTTGGTTATATAGAAGAGTGATCTTATTTGAACGAAAAATGGATAAATATATGTCGATGAAAATATTTAATTCTTGGATGAACTACCTAGGAACTTAAAAATCACAGGAATTACATTAAAATAATGAAATGAACATAACAGTCGATATATTGGAAATTCATTGATTAAAACGTTCATTTTAATCAATGAAATTGCAATAAATTATTTTTTATGTCCATTTCATTAGCCAAAATGTCTTTTTTATCATTTTTTAATTCCATTGGGAGCATGTACACCGTAAAAAAGTTGAAATTTACATGTCGATGTAGAAACCACTTTAGTAATAGTTTTCGTAAATACAAACTTTTCCCACTGACATATAGCATTTAGCAAAGTTCTACTCATTCTGTAAGCACATGCAAAGAACACATTGACATTTACATGTGAGGCATATATCTCGCATGAACACACAGTAATATTGCATTTGAGTGTTTGCAAAGATAAGAATCATGCATGGTCTAGCATGATATCCCAAGATGGAAGTGTAGATTTGAAATCCCCAACATCTTACCATTTTCTTAGGACTGAATGTACTGTGATGATGATACATATTTGGAATTAGATTAGAAATTAAGGTGATAGCTACGAGTGAGAATCATATTATTTTCATTTGATTTTTTTCAATCAAGATAAGGTGATTCTTTTTGAAAATAATGATTTTTTATTCTATAAAACTCGAGTAAAGGTTTCTAAGCTCGGGGAATTTCAATCTCTAATCCGTTTTTTGGAATTCTTAAATTCGAATTTCTGCATCAATGGAAGTCTATTTCCTGTAGTTTACTCACATTTTATAATATTCAGCTATTTGTTTAAAATGGGCTTCTCCTGACCGAGAAAACCGAACTCGAGAATTTCGAAAAACCGATTAGAAATTCAGATTCTTCGGCCCTAGAAACCTTTAGAATTTTATTAAAAAATCGTTATTTTCGAAAAATAGTCTTGTCTTGATTGAAATAATCGCATTGAAATATTATGACTGTCACTTATAGCTATCATCTTAATTTATAGTCTAACTTCAAAGATGTATGAGTATCATAATGCCTTCAGCACTTTTCCATCATCTTCTAGCCAAATTTTGTGCTCAGGTGCTGTAATAATTCCCTTGGTTTTACCTAATGTATTAAAAAATTGTGATTACATGCGTGTGATTGTCAAACATATGCCTATGCACATGCTACTATTGTGTATTTATGGGTAACAAATACTAATATTTCAGATAACTTGTATATTCGTGTACGAGATGCACTGACTGGAAAAATATCCCATATTATTAAAATTGCACAAAAATCGGCGATTAAATTGCCTAAACTGATTTTTGTCGGTATTTTCCCGTTTTTCATAAAAAAAGTCATCATTAGTCTACAAGTTTTTAAAAATAATGAATAGGTAATTGTAGACAATTTTTTATAAAAGAATATCTAATGAGTCTCTTTAAAGTTTCCCAAGAAAACACGACAGGATCACCTGGTGATTTAAGGAATTTCTTTAGGAATCTAGTAAAAGAATTATGACTATGATAAACTTTCGTATATGACGTTATTTATCGTTGTATTCTCATAATCTTCTCACGAGTAAGCGAGATGAATATCTCTTTTCTGCTTTCTGTAAATATAAAAATATAACTATTTTTCAATCATACTTCCTGACGAAATTATAGTTGGTATTAATCTAAATAAAAAAAAATATAATTTATTTTCTAAAATCACACTTGCTGACAAAATTGTTGTTGGGATTGATTTAAATAAGAAAGAAAGCCATCTAGGTCTTACAATAGTACTTATTACTGCAATTGTTGTTGGAATTGATTTCAATAAGAAAGAGAATAATGTAGATCTTATAATAGTACTTATTATTGCTATTGTTGTTGGAATTGATTTACATACGAATGAAAACAATTTAGTTCTTAAAATAGTAGTTATTACTGAAATTGTTATTGACACTAATTGAAATAAAAAGAACATAATTTATTTTGTAAAATAATAAGTACCGTTTCATTGTTCTTGAAATTGATCTGTACGAGAATAATATTATTTATTTCTTAAAATAATTTACTTACCATCGAAGATATTGCAGATTAAAATAGTTTTTCTAACGGAATAAAATGAACTATGCTACAGCTGCACAAACAAAATGGTTATGTCTATTTTCTTATTTGTTGAAACTAATAAGACAGTAAATATTCAGCACGAAGTTTCTATTAGATAGATACCATGCTACGGAAATACCGAAAATATTTTTTAAAACAAATTCATCAAAATTTAGTTTTTCTAGCTTTCAGAAATAAAAAAGTATACGAATAATTTTTATGAAGTTGATTTTTACGTCG